ACCAAAGACATGATGGCTTTTGTTCAAGCCCTCCCTGACAAGCACATGATCGAGTGGTATTCCAAATTGGTGGACCCCGCTTCTGCTGATGGGGAAAAGCTCCTATTACGAGGCCACAAACGGTATTCTTATGACCAAAGAGGCTTTGTTATCAGTGTGCCCCAGAGGTGAAGATTGACGAACAAACTGGTAACGTTTCTTACCCCAGCTCCCAACCCAGAAAGGCCTTGAAGTGGTTCAATGAAACCTTAAAACCGGCCTACATGCAATACGTGTACGACCCGGAAAGAAGGATGAACCCTACTAGTTCTCGACGAACAGGACAAGTGTTACAAGTCCATGACACCTGGAGTAGCTGCTCACCCACTCCGACATCATGACTACCTTGTGACGGATTCTTGATCGTCAAGGCTAATACCGCACCGTAATCCGAATTCCTCAAGGACGACAAGGCCATGTGTACTCTATTTGGCCTCGTGGTCAACTCCCGCTTCACGTCTTACGTCCGTTGATTTCACCGAAACAACCTTGGATGAATCGGACTTCGGTCGCATGGGGCCATCACTGGTGCCCTTCGCAACATTATTACAACCACTACGCACGCCACCATCCCCCGCCCCCACCTCTACTCCACCAGTTCGCCTTCAAGCTTCCACACTGGCCCTTCCCATGGTTTTGCACTACCCCCCGGCATGACCTTTGAGCCTTCTTGGGAATCTTCTGAAAAGCACCAGCAGGAGAACGGTGGTAAGTCTCCTACAGAAGCTTACCGTATAAATCCCCGTGCCTTCACTTTCAAATCCTCAATACTGGACCTCCAATATTATTGCAAATCATTCCCAGTTCCAATGCAACAAATACGTCATCTCCCGTCCCAACCTGTTCCACGAACCACGTGCCCAAAGTTCACCTGCGAATAGTCAAATGATGACACTCCACAATGGTATGAAGAAAGCTGCCGAACTTCCAAACGATCTATTACCGAATACCCAGTTCCGACGAAGAGCGGGAAGCAGAGGAAAAAGAAGACGCCAGCTCCCAGCGGAAGCGAGCCACCCTCCACTTAACACACGTTGACTTCGAAATTGCAAAACCTAAACCCTAAATATAAGCCACATGATTCATTCGATTCTATTCACCATTATCCTGTATTAGTAGACAAGTTGAACTAGTACTGGAAACGGAGACGACCCAGGGGGCATATGAATTAATAGTAGGTACCGAAGTGATTCCTCTTGGTAGCCAACCGGCCAATCTCTTTGGTGTCCTTCACAAAGCATTCTCATCTACCAGTAGTCAGCGGTGGCAAAAGCTCATTGATTGATCATTCATCTCATCTCTTCACATCAATAAAATTTAATATCTACCGTACGGTATCTTCTCGAGTACTAGTATCTGTATCCATCAATCACCACCATGATGAAGTTTGTGCATGTATTGCTGTTCCTGGCTGCTACTAGTGCCTTGGTGTTGGTGAGTGGAAGCAAAGAGCATCTATCTCGGTACCGTCGTTTCTTGGACTCGGAGCAACAAGAGGTCCATCCCGTGTTGGCAGTGGCCATGAAGAAGAATCCCAATGACCCCAACGAGAAAGCAATCGTCTTGCAGAGTGTCCCAGCTGGTCAAGGTGCCGTCAAGTTGGTTCCAGAAAACAACGACGATCGTCGTCGATTGTTGTCTCACACTCACAATCGTCGTCGAGCCGAAGAAGTGTCGTTTACGCGTCCCTCGGAAGAGACGGGCTTTTACTTTTCCAACGAGATTATCGTGGAGATCGAAAATGTCGATCCTGCTACAGCTCCTTCGATTGTGTTTTCCGGAATTGACAATGGAATGGAGTATTCCTTTCCTGTCACAGCAGAAGATGTTGCCGATGGAGTTGTCATTGAGATCCTAGACAACTTGGTACAAGGACTGTACACCTTGAAGCTAGTGGCTGCCGATGGTCAAGAACTGATTGTCCTGGATGAAACCGTTGAAGTGGGATCACCTCAGACACCAGTAGGCGATGAATTCTACGAAGAGGGAGGTGACGTCATGGGAGCGGTAGGAAGGATATATTTCTTTGTCGATGGCAATCTCTTTGCCTGCACGGGAACTGTCATTCACGACAACAAGAGTGGACGCTCCCTGGTTATGACGGCTGCCCACTGTGTCTGGCCCGACCGAACCGGACAACGCAAGTTTGCCTATGATCCCATTTTCATTCCCAACCGTGACGCCGTCGAAATCCCCACCAATGAAACGGGACGTGATATTCATCGTACGTGTACAGAAGACGTCTGTGGTTGTTGGACACTCTCGGGAGGGGTCGTACACGATGTGTGGTCCGAGTCTCCCTGGCCACAGCGTCTCGCATACGACTACGGATTCTACGTTGTCAAGGATTACGGGATGCACGAAGGAACCGTCTGTCGAGATACCACTGCACTCGACATTGCCGTCGATGAAATGCAATTCTCGGTTGGGGATGACATTGTGGGAGAGCCTGGATATTCCTTTGGATACGCACTCCAGTGGAATCCCTTCTTTCGATACTGCTCTGACACCATCACGGTCGAAGACACCACCTTGGGCTTTGACACGGCATGGATCAACTCGTGTAGTCTGGGAACTGGATCCACCGGAGGACCTTGGATGATTGACTTTTCCGAGGACACCGGGCGAGGCAAGGTCGTCACCGTCAACTCGTGGTACAAGACCTGGACAACCGGATATGGTGGACCCTTTATCGATGCTTCCGAGGCGCGTTGTTTGGTCAATGCGGCGCGTGACGTCGATATAGACGTACTCTTTTCACTACCAGAAGGTGAACAAGGCATCATCGTCAATTGTTATGATCGTCCTTGTCGTGACGGAACTTCCCGCATGTTGCGAGGAGGACGAATGCTCTGTGGTCATCAAGATACCGATCAGGCTGTGTCGAAACACCAGCAAAACAGAGATCTTCTCGTGCAAGACGAATCTGTTGTGGTGTGAGCATGACAAGCAGGAGCTCAAACTATCAACCTACTATTTTATAATAGTAGTTTCGATACATTCATACATATACGTACATCATAATGAACGTTGCCATTATAATGAAAGTTACAAATCTTTGCGAATTATTTTCATAACCGAGAAAGGACTATCCGCTTCCGTCTGGCTACCGGTGACATACAAACAAACAAACAAACAAAAGCATATACCACTGACATTATCTCGGCCAAACAAGGGTTAGGACAGGAGTTGCTTGCTCGTGGAGCAGACCCAGGTGTAGCTCCAAAGGTTGGCTGTTGAGCTGGTCCAGGGGACGGCCCGCCAGTGGGTCTTGGAGTGAGAGCCTTAGACTAGTCCAAAGGTGGGTCCTCGTGTGGGGGCTTGAGATGAGGGGTGGAGTAAGTACCGTAGGTCAAGCCAATTTGTGCATACTTTTGAATTTGAATTTGATCCAGAAGTTGGGCCTGGTGGTGGTCTTGGAGGTAGTAGGCCGCCTGGAGAGGGACCTTGAGCAACAGACTACTGGGAGCAGGTCCTGGAGTTGATGGCTGTTGAAGTGGGTGGTACTGTTATAGCTGCTGGCGTACCAGATCCTGGGCGGAGCGAGCTCTGCCTGGAGTGGGATTTGGAGGAGTTGGTTTGTCAGCTGGTCCAGGACAGGGTCCAGGATGCCAATTCTGGGGTTGGAATGGGGGTTGGTATAGACCCAGGAGCGGAACCAGGAGTTGTTCCAATGCCATGGTTGGCTGGTGAATGGGCTATGGCTAGGTACATGTAGAAGCTGCTGAACCTCGGGGACTTCGTCCGCGAGTGGGTTCGGCCCATTCAGTGGGTCAGCCTGCTGAAAGATTGAGCAACTCAACGTTGGTGAAATTGAAGAGTCACAGATTCCATGTCGTCCGTGGGACTGTGGGGCCAGATCGGCATCTTCCGCACTAATGTTACGTGTACTACCGTATACGTGTACGGTAGCTACTATTTAGCTACTACTACTCACAACCCCATCAGCACTGTCAAAACCTTCTGGACTCAACACTGCCAACTCTGCAACAAGGAAAGACTTGAAATACTTCCACGTGCTCGAGAATCGTCACCAGAAACAATGATCAACTCACTCAACCAAATCTACGGTGCCTGCGGACCCAAACCAAAGATTCACAAGTACATTGATGAGTTAAAATGGGAAAGTTACTGCTAGTATGGGTTAGAGAGAGCTAGGATGAGGAAGGGGACAGAGAGGGGAGGGCACGATGCAGGAACGCAAGGCAAGCAATCAAGTGCCCAAGCAGGGTCGAGTCCTACAGTGGAGAGAAAGAGTCCAGTCATGCCAAAACCAAAAAGTTACCACGGAGGACACCTGTGTTTTTAAGTTTTAGCCCTTCGGCAGTGGTGACCTGTTTCAGTAAAATTTACTTAATAAAATCGTGTGATTGTCAGGCATGTGGCTCTGATGCCAGTACCAGCTAGCTGTAGCTAGCTAGTACCGGTACGGTAAGTTTTGCAGAAGGCAGAATAGAAATCTTCAATACGTGTCCAGTGATGGTGCTGTTTTGCTTTGGCCAAGACAGCAAGTGCGGTGGAACGGGAGCGGTGGAGATCAATCGTGCATAAATTCGCGAAATTCGCGATTTTGCCGCGATTTCCGCCACTTTTCCTAAGTGAAAACAGCCAAAACCATGGATTTCGCGGAAAAACCTCTATTTTCGCCATTCCCTGCCGCTCCCGAAACCAAAAAGGAAGAGTGTTAAAACAACGGGTCATACGATGTACAAGAGCCAGAGTTGCAGGGCTCATCAAAAGCTTCATCAACAGCTTTATCCAATATCAATGATGCCGTTACAATCTGCATCCCCGCCGATTAGGCCAATGAAGGCTCTTGTCCTGGCGCTATGCCTGCCGCTTCATAGCTCGATGGTTCAACCAGCGATGAAATCTCCCCAAAATGCCGTGACATCCAAATGGCATCGATTTCTGCAAGAAGATGGCACGAGCCCGTTGCTGGATCCTGCGAAACCGAACGGTTATGAAGGATGTCCCTGCTTGACTTTTGATCAGCTTGCTAACTACAATCTGGATTACTCCACCAACATCAAGGCGATTAGTTTTCTGGGCACTGGATATGAAAATCCTGCCGAGTACGGACTGGGATGCAGTGCACATGACGCCGCAGTGCCGGAATGTTCCAACGTTGGAGATTGCGTCACCAAGATTCCTCTCCCCGACAACTGTGACAAGTCTTGGTGCCGACGTGCTTGGTGCTATGTAGATTCCAACAGCTGCTCAGTGGAAAAGGCTCAGAGTTCGCTGTGGGAAAGCAAGAGTTTAGCCTACTCTTATGCTGCTTGTGGCTTCATGGATTCCTATACATCCTCGGACAGATTGAGGGATCTGCAGAACAGAACTCTCCGAGTTGCATTCAATAGCAACAGTGGAGGATGGCAGGGAGCTTACAATGAAGAAGGCCACTTTGCCATGAACGCACAATGGTATGGACCTTTGATTGACTTCGTTAGTGATGCAGCTATCTTGGGGGGCTTTGAACTCGAGGCAACTGTTCCGCCTGAATGGTTGCGAAATTCTTCCAAAGCTTTCTTTGGAGGATCGGCGTTTGACCTATGTATCTACGCGGTTTCGCTGGGCTACCTAGACATGTGTGTGGCTGGATACACCGTCACGACAAAGCGAGCATCTGTGACCTCTTTCTTTGAGCTCACGTCGGATCCAGTCTATTTGCTCACATTTGCAGGCGAAGAACAGCGCACGAATTTGGAAGACTTTGTCTACGCACTGAAAACCATCTTCACACCCTTCACCGGCGGGGCCTGGGCCATGATTGTTATGTTTGTCTTGCCCGTGATGGCACTGCTCATGTGGTTTCATGAGCATGGAGTGCCAGGGTCGGCGTTTCCTCGAACAAGACCATTCCAAGAAATCGACAAAGAAACTGGGGAAGCCAAAATCAAACATCGTCCAATTAGATTGACGACACAGTTGTTCCAAGCTCTGTATATGAGCTTCCTGAGCTTCACTTCAGAGTCCTATGATATTAGCGTGATTACCGCAGGAGGCAAGATCCATCTGCTGGGAATATTCTCCTTTCTCATTTTGGTCCTGGCTGTGTACACTGCCAACTTGGCAGCCATTCTCACCACATCGGCTCAATCAACGGCTGTAGAAACGGTGGAGGAAGCCTTGCAGGCGGGCTACAACTTTTGCGCGAATAGAAAACTTGCCCTGACCATCATGAAACTCTACACCATTGATCCTGCGCGCTTTGCTGTCGACCCTGAAAGTGAAGGAGGGGATGGGATGCCCGGCTTCAACTGTGCCAGATGTCAGGGACGACAACGTGCCATTGATTTCATGAAACAAGACCACAACGATCCAAGCCTCTACTGCGATGCGGCCTTTGTGACACTACAGGAACTGGAGGTGATGCATCAATTTGGATTGCACTGTAACAAGACCGTCGTTGGAAATATACTCACGTTCAATACATTTGGCATGCCACTTGGTTCGAGCATTGCATCGCCAATGTCATCATGGCTCTACAAGATGAAGTACGAAGGATTGCTGACACAGAAACTGAACGAGGCGCAGCCCGCCAATCAATGCGCTGCAGCGTCACAACAAAACGAAGGCATTGGGTTGACAGTGCAGCAACTGACAGGTATTTGGGTAATCGTTTTCACCTTTGCCTTGGGAGGGCTGATAGCCAAGGCGGTCAACTATTACCAAAGGCGAAACAAAAGCTCCTCCTTTTCACAGCTGGTCTGGCATTACGATCAATGGGGCCGCCCCATTCCAAATCTGGAACTGGACGATTGGCGAAAGGAAAGCATACCACCAGTTGACCGCAGAAGAACGTCAGTGGTTCTCCCAAGCACGATACCTGGCCGTCGCAGTGGCGGAAGCAATGGTCTACATAGCCTTTCGTATCACAGCCACATGTACTCGAGTGACTTCGCATATCCTGATGACGATAATACCTGCTCGAAAGAAGAAGTGGCGGTACATTTAGAAGAGAAAGACGAGCAAGCGCCGTCGACGCAACCTGAACCATGGGGTGGGGTTGATAGTGCCAGTTTTGCAACAGATCAAGCAGACTCAGCTTTTGAAGACGCAGATGAGATCACACAAAAAGTCTCTTGCTAGCAAATTCAAGCAAACTTGCTTTGATGCATAAATGTTGCTCATCTTCTCCAGCCACAACCACATAGATGAAGAGAGTTGAAATCACTTAGCTGCAAAGCCTGGCTTAGCTTAGATTACAGGCTAAGTTTTTGATTTCGTAGCAGGTTTCTTGTTTTGTCTTCGCGTACTGTATTAGTTAGGCTGGCTTGAACATCAATAGCTGGCACTGCCGTGACATGTAGTCTAGTCAGCCCCCCGTGGTACTCTGGATGGGAACGTGGTGGCTTTCAAACTGAACCTTCTCGAGGTTGAACGGTTGAACATGACTTTCGTGTCAGTCAAGGCCCCGCTTCGCCTCTCTCGAAGGGGAGCAATGCCAGCTCCGTTAGCTTATTTATTCCCCGCAAGGCTTCAACTGAAAAACGAGACTCGAAAGAATAGAAAAGATATCCTCAATAGCTGTATCTTTGTGAGCAATCAGAAAGAACAACCCCCAAAGCATCCCCAAACAGCGCTTCTACAGGTAGTTGCTAGGTAGTCTACATTACGGTAGATCAGAGAGAATTGAAAAGATGGACAGCAGCTCCAGGCGTCACGGAATGGACAAATCCTTGAGGGAGGAGTATGACGAGGAGGCGGCCGAGAACAAGAAGTTGAGGAACCAACGTGATGAAGCACAGAAGGTGTACTTGGAGATGGCAGACGAGCGCTTGGAGGCTCAGAGTGCCATGTTTGCTGTCCTTGACATTATCGGGAAGAGTGAATGGCGCAAGAAACAGCCAACAGACAAACTGGTGGATGATGCCTACAAACTCTCTGAGGAATGCCAAGCAAGGGCCAGAACCCAAATGGACAAGCTGGAGCAGGCCACGGAGAGAGATATGAGGATCACCAAAGCAGAGAACGATGAAGGCATGAACGACATGAGTGCTGCCTCGCAATTGGAAGACACTACCAATCAGTTTATCCGCCAAAACAAACAGTTCATCAGAGACATCAAGAATCGTCAAGACTACTTGGCCGGTGAAACTAAAACCAAAGAAGATTTTGTGAATGCCACCAAGAAGGTTATTGCCACGTTGAAGAAAGAGTGTGATGACAAGGATCTAATTGCAAAGGTGGAAAAAGCTGCTATGCTCAGCTGAGGTATCTTTTTACCGCGACAATTTACATGTCTTGTACTTTCCCATTGATTTTTTTGTAGGAGGGATGATTTGAAATTATACCCCCTCTCGTGTGCGGAAGAATGTTGTGGCCGCCCCCATTGGTCCTGGATATTGAATGATTTTGGAAGCTTGTGCCAGCGGAGCTCTAAAATTTCTTAACTTAATAAAAAAAGATGTTTCATAAGTACAGTTGCTTGTGGTGGCTACTGGTACCATGGTAGCTTGTGATCCACAACAATGAGGATGGAAATTCATGCTGTTGCTTCCATGACTCCTCAGCCCTCAGCATTGAAGAGTGAAGAAATCCGAGCAAATCATAAGAGAGCAGCACTGTGTTTCTGATTTGCATCCACCCTCCCAGGATTACTTGTACTGCGAGGAACAACTAACTGCTACCACTGGTAGCTACTACCGGTACCGGTAGCTAGCTAGAGCTGGACTGAGGTTCACAATGCATGGGCAAGGAAATGCAATAACGTGACATTCTGACGCTTTCTCATCTGATGATAGGATTTTGTGCCGGCAAGATAGATGTAGCTTCCGCCCAGCTGGAGCCTGTGGCCAGTCGCCATTTTCTGTGTGAGGACTTAACTAGCGGAGGATGCAGATCCATACTAAATCTATTTCGTTCTGAATAAGTCTTTCTGACCCTTGCGTGGCTCAACGAGAACAGAAGAACCAGTTCTTCCGCCAACTTCGGCTATGACCAATGAAAATCGAGAAATTTCGTGACCGACCAAGGTCTCGGAGTGGTGATTGAGTGATGAGAGGGTCGATTAATCATTCGATTCTCGCATGGATCCTTCTTCATCCCTCATTTCAGCAAGCTAAGCAAGTTGAGGCCGGTCCACTTCCGCATCCTCGCTACTAGCAAGCGATTCCAAAGAGGAGCGCTGTATGCACAGAGCATTACAAGAGATCACCTGATTGATACGGAAGGAATAAAGCTTCGCTGCCGTAGCTGTGTTTCGATTCAATTCGATTCTTGTGCCAGCCCCTGCCAGAGAGGGAATTCGGGACTTGCTTTTTAAAAAGATTCTTCTTCCTGAAGATGACGGAAACAGAGAAGACCGCTTCTTCAACAGGAGCTGAAGACGAAAATTGGTGGAAGGCAGAAGAAGACACTGGCGAAGTAGGAAAGGATTGGTGGGCGTTGGAAGGCGCCAAGGCAGCTGTTGATGCTGCCCTTGCAGATGACGATGAAGAGCCAACTCCCGCGACTCAAGAGCCCGTAAAAAAGAAGAGTATGTTTTCATCCGACAGCGAAGGTGATGACGACGACGACGACGATGACGAAGACGACAAGCCAAAAACAAAGGCAGTTGAAGAAAAGTCTGCAAAAAAGGCCAGTTACTTTTCCTCTGACAGCGATGACGACGACGACAGCGACAAAGAAGACGATGCTGCAACCAAAAACAGAGAAGACGCTGAAATGCAAAAACTGATGGCAAAATTCACCCCGAGCGCAACAACCGGTGATGAGCCTGAAGGCGAAGGCGAAGATATCGGAAATCTATTGGCTAAATTTGCCCCAGAAGTGGCTGCTGCGTCCGATGTGGTTTCCATAAGCAGCGAAGAAGATGAGGAAGAGGAAAATCGTAGAGAAATTGAATTGGAAGAAAATTTCTTGGATCATGTGGTTTTGGCTGCACCTGACATTGAAACTGCTGTAACCGAATTCACCAGAAAGACAGGAATGGAACCCAAAATGGCACTGGCCATTAAGGGACTGGGCATCAAATGCGCACGCGTCTCCTTTCAGGGATCCAGCTACTTGGAGATCATTGCTCCAGATCCCGAGAAAGGTGGTCCCATCGGGACCTTGTTGAGAGAATCTGGCATCAAACAACTCAAACCCTTCCACTGGGCCATCCGCACAAAGAGAGCAGAGGCCCTTAGTGCGGAGGTCAAACGCTTCGGATACACACCAGATCACATTTCCATGTACGGAACCAACATGAGAACGGGAGCACCTAGAAAGTGGGAAATGACGTATCTTTATGGACATAAAAACGGTGGCATTTGCCCATTCTTTATCAATTGGGAGGGTTCGGACCATCCCTGCGAAACCATGCCAATCATTGGAGACCTCGTTTCGGTCAAAATTTCCGTTCCAAAAGATGACTCAATTCATCAGCTGATCAACCATACAGAATCAGAGGGTTTCTCATTGATGGAAGGACCGTCTGCCTTTCAAATTAAATTCAACTCACCAGAAGGGGAAGTCTCCTTCGGCGCCACCAAAATGACCGGCTTCCGATTCCCGGGATTTGAGCAAGTGTATGGGGACTTAGAAAAGGACGATGAAATTGTCGATGATCTAGACTTTGTCTTTCCAGAAAATGCCCGAAGTGCATATTCCTGATGTGGAAATTGCGCCGGCGGCAATTGGAAAGCTCGATCCTGCGCTTGCCAGAGCTCTCGAGGCACCCACGGACTTTGACTTGACGATGCCATCCCTGGTATGCATAGGGTTGGTGATGTGAAGGTTGCTCCAGGAGCAAGCGTTGGTAAGCTAAATCCTGCTCTGACAAGGGCACTGGAGGGACCAGTAGTGCATGAGGGTGATATACCTACCTTTCAAATGGTTGGTGATGTGAAGGTTGCACCAGGAGCAACTGTTGGTAAACTCAATCCTGCTCTTACCAGAGCTTTGGAAGCACCAGTTGTCCAAGAGGGTGATGTACCAGCATTTCAAATGATTGGTGATGTAAAGGTTGCTCCAACCGCAAGTGTTGGGAAGCTTGATCCTGCCCTTACAAGGGCTCTTGAGGCACCCGTGGTTCAAGAGGGTGACATACCAGAATTCCAAGCTGTAGGTGACGTCAAGGTTGCTCCAGGAGCGTCCATTGGAAGGGGAACACATGACCCTGCCCTCAGCAGAGCTCTCCAAGGACCTGTGGTTCGGGAGGGTGATGTTCCAGAGTTCCAGGCTGTTGGTGATGTGAACGTGGCACCAGTTGGTGTAGGAAGAGGGAAACACGACCCAGCACTCTCAAGAGCCCTGGAAGGACCCGTCGTTCGGGAGGGAGATGTCCCTGAATTCCAGGCTGTTGGTGATGTGAATGTGGCACCAGTTGGTGTAGGAAGAGGGAAACACGATCCAGCACTCTCAAGAGCCCTGGAAGGACCCGTGGTTCGGGAGGGAGATGTCCCTGAATTCCAGGCTGTTGGTGATGTGAATGTGGCACCCATTGGTGTAGGAAGAGGGAAACATGATCCTGCCCTTTCACGAGCCCTAGAAGGGCCCGTGGTTCGGGAGGGTGATGTTCCAGAGTTCCAGGCTGTTGGTGATGTGAACGTGGCACCAATTGGTGTAGGAAGAGGGAAACACGATCCAGCACTCTCAAGAGCCCTGGAAGGACCCGTTGTCCGGGAGGGCGATGTCCCTGAATTTCAGACTGTTGGGATGTGAATGTGGCACCATTGGGCAGGAAGAGGGAAGCAGATCCTGCCCTTTCAAGAGCCCTTGAAGGACCCGTTGTCCGGGAGGGCGATGTCCCTGAATTTCAGGCTGTTGGTGATGTGAACGTGGCACCAGTTGGGTAGGAAGAGGGAAGCATGATCCCGCTCTCTCTAAAGCACTCGAAGGACCTGTTGTCCGGGAGGGCGATGTCCCTGAATTTCAGACTGTTGGTGATGTGAACGTGGCACCAGTTGGGGTAGGAAGAGGGAAGCATGATCCCGCTCTCTCGAAAGCACTCGAAGGACCTGTTGTCCGGAGGGTGATGTCCTGAATTTCAGACTGTTGGTGATGTGAAGTGGCACCAGTTGGTGTTGGAAGAGGGAAGCACGATCCTGCCTCTCAAAGGCCTCGAAGGACCTGTTGTCCGGGAGGGCGATGTACCTGAATTTCAGACTGTTGGTGATGTGAATGTGGCACCAGTTGGTGTTGGAAGAGGGAAGCACGATCATGCGCTCTCAAAAGCCCTCGAAGGACCTGTTGTCCGGAGGGTGACGTCCTGAGTTCCAGACTGTTGGTGATGTGAATGTGGCACCAGTTGGTGTAGGAAGAAGGAAGCATGACCCCGCCCTTTCAAAAGCCCTAGAAGGACCTGTGGTTCGGGAGGGTGAGTCCCTGATTCCAGACTGTTGGTGATGTGAACGTGGCACCCATTGGTGTAGGAAGAGGGAAACATGATCCAGCCCTTTCAAGAGCCCTTGAAGGACCTGTTGTCCGAGAGGGTGATGTACCTGAGTTCAAAACTGTTGGTGATGTTAATGTGGCACCAGTTGGTGTAGGAAGAGGGAAACATGATCCAGCCCTTTCAAGAGCCCTTGAAGGACCTGTTGTCCGGGAGGGTGATGTACCTGAATTCCAGACTGTTGGTGACGTTAATGTGGCACCAGTTGGTGCAGGAAGAGGAAAGCATGATCCTGCCCTTGCCAGAGCTCTTGAAGGACCTGTTGTTCAAGAAGGTGATGTCCTCGAATTCCAGACTGTTGGTGATGTTAAGGTTGCACCCACTGCGAGTGTTGGAAAGCTGGACCCTGCCCTTACCAGAGCCCTGGAGGCCCCAGTTGTTCAAGAGGGTGATGTGCCAGAATTCCAGAGGGTTAGCGACGTGAAGGTAGCCCCTTCGGTTGGGAAGCTGGACCCTTCCCTTACAAGAGCACTTGAGGCGCCTGTGGTCCAAGAGGGTGATGTGCCTGCCTTCCAGAAGGTTGGCGATGTGAAGGTGGCCCCCACAATTGGAAAGCTTGACCCTTCCCTCACAAGGGCCCTTGAGGCACCTGTGGTTCAAGAGGGTGATGTACCCGAATTCCAAAAGGTCGGTGATGTGAAGGTGGCACCCACAGTTGGGAAGCTTGACCCCTCCCTCACAAGGGCCCTGGAGGCACCCGTGGTTCAAGAGGGTGATGTACCTGAATTCCAAAAGGTTGGTGATGTGAAGGTGGCGCCCACAGTTGGGAAGCTTGACCCCTCCCTCACAAGGGCCCTGGAGGCACCTGTGGTGCAAGAGGGTGATGTTCCTGCCTTCCAAAAAGTTGGTGATGTGAAGGTGGCACCCACAGTTGGGAAGCTGGACCCCTCCCTCACAAGGGCCCTGGAGGCACCTGTGGTGCAAGAGGGAGATGTTCCTGCCTTCCAAAAAGTTGGTGATGTGAAGGTGGCCCCAACAGTTGGGAAGCTCGACCCTGCCCTCACCAGTGCACTGGAAGCCCCTGTTGTTCAGGAAGGTGATGTACCTGCCTTCCAGAAGGTTGGTGATGTGAAGGTTGGCCCCGCAGTTGGGAAGCTTGATCCTGCTCTCACTAGAGCCTTGGAGGCACCAGTTCAAGAGGACAACCTGCCTGCTTTCCAGAGGGTTGCTGATGTCAAGGTTGCACCAGCAAGTGTACAAAACATGAATCCTGAACTTGAGAAAGCATTGGCGGCACCGGTGGTAAAAGAGGATGAAATTCCTGCCTTCCAAAAGGTTGCTGATGTAAAGGTTGCACCATCAAGGGTGCAAAACATGGATCCGGCCCTGGAGAAGGCCCTCGAGGCACCGGTTGTCGAAGAGAATGAGATGCCTGCATTCAAGCCGGTGTCACTTGATCAGGAATCTACCGGTATGACCGTAATCCGCCGGGTCATCAATCGAGACCCTGCTCTGGAGGCTGCTTTGGAAGAACCAGAGCTGAGTGATCATGATGTTCCCAATTTCATGCCAGTATCCATGGACGCATCTTCCACAATGAATATGGTACAGCGTGACATGGCAATGGAAGAGCACTTGAAAGAACCAGAAGAGAATGTGGAACAGGAAATGTCTTTTCAGGCTGTGTTCCATGAAGTGGAAGCTGATCGGCGAAAGATGCTAACAAAGAACCATTCAATTGTGAAGAAGATGATGGCCAGCAAGACTGAATCCTTGGAGAAGAGCTTCCTGGACGACAGTCAAGTCATCAGTGAAATGGAACAATCGTGGCATCAGAGCATGCAGGACATACAGATGGAGGAGGCTGAAATTCGCTCCCGCCTTCCCAGATTGAGTACGATTGGTGAACGAGCAAAACACAGAATTGGTGCCAACCAGCCAGGTGATGTTGTAAGCGAAGCCACCACCGATGAAGAAGAGGAGGATGGAGAAGATGAACCAGAAAAGGAGGAACCAGAGGAGTCACAAGACCAGCCAGCAGAGGAGCCGCAAGATGAACCGGAAACATAGTGTTGAGTTTATGGTAGAGTGTAAAGTAACTTGTACAGGGTGGGAATGGATGATAATAAAGTAATGATGAAATTGCCTGGTGTTCTTTAGTTTAGTTGCCTCGTGCAGTTACTTCATTGAGTTGTGGATGGCTTGGCCAAGGTTGCGAATGACCCTACTGGTTTACCAATCCTCCTTGGCAACAGAGGAGCACAGGCAAACACACCTCCAGCAAGCACATACTACAGAGTTCCTCAGGAGGAAAGCTGTGTGGCTTTTGTAAGTTTAAACTAGGGAAACCAGCCTGATGTGCTGCCTTGGGGCTGCTCAAGATGGCATTAAACACACTCTCAATATGGCATTCACATAACGCATTCGGTGTTGGCAATATGTTTCCAGGGCCCATGAGAATCTGGTGTGGCATCATGGCACACATACGGAACACAACTGAGCTCCTTTAAAGAAGTTTTGGTTCCTCTGACAGTTCCCCTCCGCCGGGGCCAATATCAAGACCCTCAAACCATCCCAGAATCCTTGAGCACTGCAAGACTAGCTGGCTGGGTGGGCAGCTAGCGCCACAAGAGAACCAGGGAAGACACAAGGGCTGCTGACATCGGACAATTACTCGGACAAGCAAACAACAAGCAACAAGCTTCGTGGCTGGCATCGGGCTTTGAGCTTTGCTCCCCTGGCAGCGATTTAATAATTCTTCAATGAACGACTGAGTTAGGATACTTAAAGATTAAATCCTAAATATCTTTTCACCAGATGCGCACTCACTTTTTGAGGACCTGGCGATTCTCCATCATGTGGATGAAGTTGTCTAATACCTGAAGACTCTACTACCCAGCTGAGCAGGGAGGAAGAATCTTTGCCCAGTTCATTACCCAGCCAGATGAGCAACCGGGTAGCCAGTGCAACGCGCCAAGGTTGTTGCTACAGGCCAGGGACGACAACGTGAAATCTTTTTGTGTGGATTCTCTCCTTTCGGCTTCGTTGTTCCATCAGGCAAAAGACTTGCTTTATTTCTACGCTGCTGTAGGCTACTAGCTAATCTTAGAAGACTCCTCCAATCCTTCGTCTATTCTGTGGTGCAAAGAGACAAAGATGAACAGCAGTTCCAGAAATACGGGACGAGGCGACGGTAGCGTCGACTCGACCAGAAGAACTGGCAGCATGTCAAGTTGGCAGACAGCCCAGCTACAACAGTACTCTCCTGAACAAACCTACGATGACTTTGCCGACGGCTTGATGCGACCTTTGTACTTGCAGCATTGTCGTCAAAGAGACACCTTCAGTGCTCTGCTATATGCCTTTATTACTCTGTTGCTTGGGATTCCTTTGATACTACTCACCAACACACATAAGGAGGCCACCCAATTGTCGCACCACAACCACAACTGTGTTATCACGGGAGACGTTAAAGAACACAACATGACTCTCATATTGCCCGCATTTTCACCTGACAATCAAGAGGACGTGGAAAAGCTCTTTGTGGACACCTACAACCAACTTTCAGGTGCTTGCCAAGGGCCGTTTCAGCGTGTCTTGCTGCAAGCAAATCTGCTTACGATGGAGGATCCATCAGTCCTTAATCGCTACCGAATGATCACAAGCTGGAATGGAGCCGTCAGCTGCGACGGATGCTCGAATGATGATCCCATCTTTGCAACGGATGAAAACATGGATTTTGACCTAAGGAAAAAGTTTGTCGAACAGCTACAGATTCAGATGCGAGCAGTGGCAATCAAACCTGAAAGAGAGCACGCTCGAACCAATAGACGCATACTGTTCGGGGAAGATGATCGAAGAAGTTTCTTCTGGATTCCTACTTCCGACGACGTCAGGAAAAACACACTGAGTCCCAATGCTCCACCGATGACAGTGCGACCCACAGTGCAGCCCCCAACTGCAATTCCGAGGACACCAAGCGCTAAACCTTCCACATTGCTACCTACGTTTCAACCGTCAACCAAAGCACCAAGCACCCAGCCGTCGACCCTCGAACCATCTCAAATTCCAACCTTTGGGCAAACTGTCAGCATACCTCCGACAGTGTCGCTACAGCCTAGCCTGAGCCTGGCACCAAGCATGACCTTGGCACCAACAGGAGTACCAAGTGTTGTCAAGGAAATACATGACAGTAGGGGAACCAAGATGACAGCCAGCCCGACATCGGGCTTGCCCACAACGACCCCGACGCTGTCCCCAACAATCCTGAACATCACAGACTCCCCTACGGTCATGAATACGAGCTCCCCGACCGTGATGAATACAAGCTCCCCCACTGTCATGAATACGAGCTCCCCCACTGTCATGAATACGAGCTCGCCAACCCTGATGAATACAAGCTCCCCCACTGTCATGAATACAAGTTCACCCACTGTCATGAACACAAGTTCACCCACCGTCATGAACACAAGCTCCCCCACTGTACAAACAGGATCTCCAACCGTACAAACAGGATCTCCAACCGTACAAACAGGATCCCCAACCGTACAAACAGGATCTCCAAGCATACAAACGGGTTCGCCAACCTTAGCCACGAGTCCTCCTTCTACCATGAGTCCAACACTAGCACCCGTTACCGATGCTCCAACAACAAGTCCAACCACAATGAGCCCAACCCAAAGTCCAACCACAACAAGCCCTACATTGACTCCAACCACAACAAGCCCAACTTTGAACCCGACTCTAGCTCCAACGTTGAACCCGACTCTAGCTCCAACTTTGAACCCGACCACAACAAGTCCAACGTCAAATCCTACCACAGAACAGCCAACCAAGGAACCAACAACGGACACCCCTACAACCAAACCAACTGCAAAACCTTCAGAAGCCCCAAGCACATCTTCACCAACCAAGGTCCCCACGACCGAGATGCCCACTGCGAAACCAACTGCAAAACCGACAGATCGCCCGACCGAGAAGCCCACGGATAAACCCACTGATCGACCAACCGCAAGGCCTACCGACAAACCCACAAACAAACCTTCGGATCGTCCAACTGAAAGGCCGACTGACAAGCCCACCGATCGTCCAACCACAACAAGCCCAACATCGGAGCCTACAACTTCAAGCCCAACATTGGAGCCTACAACTTCAAGCCCAACATCGGAGCCCACCACTATGCCACCTACAATGGAGCCTACCACTATGGCACCAACAATGGAGCCTTCGACAGGCAAGCCAACGCCAGTCCCCTCGGCTGAATTCTCGACTGCAAGAATCAAGGAGACCCCACGTCCAACAACAGCACCTCCTACGATCGCACCAACCTTACGCCCCACCACAAGGAGCCCAACCACAAGTCCGACCACAACAAGTCCAACATTGAACCCGACCACAACAAGTCCAACGGCACCTCCCACCACAACTAGTCCAACTTTGAACCCAACAGCACCCCCCACAACAGCAAGTCCAACAGCACCTCCCACGGCTGTTCCAACTACAAGCCCCACTGCTATGCCGACTGCAGTTCCAACTGTGAGCCCCACAACAGTTCCAACTGCAGTTCCAACTGCAAGCCCCACAACAGTCCCCACAGTCAGCCCTACTACATTGCCAACTGCAAGCCCCACAACCAAAACTCCAACGGTACAACCCTCGATTGCACCCACCACGAGAATGCCAATAATGAGGAAGGATCCATTTCAGCTTCAGAGCTTGGGACCTTCCTACAGCTTGGCCCCCTCCGTGAGCATGTCTCCAAGTGTGAGCATGTCTCCAAGCGTGAGCATGGCACCGAGTGTCAGCATGGAGCCATCAGAGAGCATGCAACCGAGCCAAATACCATCTGCCCTCGAAACAGAAACGGAAGCGCCCACTACGCCGAGCCCAACAACCTTGCTACCGACGACCCTCTTGCCAACCACCTTGACTCCAACGACTTTGACGCCTACCACTGGACTCCCCACTACTCTCTTGCCCACAACGTTCCCACCAACAACACTAGTTCCTACTGTCGCACCTTCGCTGAAACCAATCGATCCACCAACACGTCGTCAATTCTTCTGGGTTCCACCTTCGGCACAACCACCAGGTACCATTACTAGTAGGACGTTTGGATGGGCTCCTCCTCAGGTAGGAAGGAGCCCAGGTGAACTGGATCTACTGCATCACTGCCTTCAATCTGAAATCTTGGTGGACGATGACTTTGAAACAGAAGGCGCAGAAGAGCAGTGGATGCATGGGAGCACAAGCTACAGTCGGAATTTTACCTTCTTCTTGGGTCGATTGGATGGAACCTACAACCCCAAAGTGTCCAGGACTTTCAATATTCTGCCATCGTCATTGGACGGAAGCTTGGCGTCCAACGCAACTATTGAATTCGTCTTGTACACTATTGATGACTGGGGACCTGATGATGCAGTTTCGCTTATGGTTGGGTCCACAACTATTGACTTGGGTCAGCTACAGCCAGCAGTTCCAACGTCCGTTAATGATACCAAAGAAGGGATATCATGGTGGCGAAACGTCCTGATGCAGGGTTCTAATCTCGGATTTGGTGCTGCAGAAGACATGAAACATTTAGTCGAGCTTACAATCCCGTCGGACCACTTCCCCAATGGAACACTGTTCTTTGAAGTGAGGCTGGAGACGAATCGAGGTGGGGTAGATACGCTGAGTGCTGGAATGGACGACTTTATTCTAGAAGCTTACTACAACTGCAGCGGACTGTCGCAGAGAAGACTTGGGGGAGGGGGGGCACGAAACAAGAAGGAACGAGAGAAACAACCCAGCGACGGTCCCTACTGCCAGAGCAATGACTTCCCTTGTGACGGTGGCGACGACATGGTTTACATATGTCACTACTCAGGCCGCCTCCGAGGACACAAAACTATTTGCATCCCAGAGCGAGACTCGGAAATACTGCGGTACTACACACAAGATTACTGCGGCCCATGCTTGGGCAGCCTATCAAGCGCTTCTTGGATGTCTTGATAATTCAATATAGAAACCGCGAGATTCAATGGAGTCCTTTACATCCCGATTTCCGATAGCAAGCTGGTGATGCATGTTTAGCCATGGCCTTCCCCTCCTAGACTGTTGGTGCCATAGTCGTGGGCTCCCCTGTTGTGCGCAACGTTGTGGGCTTCCATTGTTGGGCTTGAACTTGTAGACTCGACTGTTGGGCTTGAAGTCATGGGTTTGGCGGTGGGAAGATCCATAGGTTTGGTGGTGGGAAGATCCATACGGTAGGTTTGGCAGTGGGGCGATCCATTAGGTCGAAACGTTTCAAAATATTATCAACTTTATGTTTCCACCCTCGGTAGAAGAAGGCGACGATACCACGGTTCCAGCGCCCATCTTGCCGACATTGGACGTCACAAGCGACAGCACACAAATCAATGGCCAAGCAACCAGCCGAGACCCAACGCAACGGAAACGGGTGCTGGATCGAGTAGAGCGACTAGATCGAGAAGCCTTTGACGGCATCCTACAAAAGCATCAAGATTTTTGGGTGCAACAGAATGCCACAACTCAGGCAATTTGCCCCTAATGGAGAAACCATTCGAATGCTGAGAGAATTGCAATACAGGGAGGACGATTATGACTTTCCTTTGCTCCACGTTTTGCTTTATGCTTACGCCGAGTTGAGGCAAAAGACTTGCATCTGAAGCGTTGCGGAATCTCAAAAATTGCAGCGACCATATACCCAAGGAGTGCTTACAAGAAGAGGGAGCTTGTCAGCTTCAGCTTCTTGCCTTTTCGACGCAATCAGCAGCTTGTCCCACCTTGCCTTGAATCAGTAAAATTTCGGCAAGTTGATCCAAAAGAGTTGCTCTGAACAGTTGTTCTTCCGATTGAACGATGATTCCTTGCAACAATTCTTCCAGACGAACGGCGCGTTGCAATACGGCAGCTGCTTTGCCGAGTTCGACGTCTTGACGCAATCCAAACTGCTGTGGATGGCACTCCTGGGCAAAGCACCACCTCCATGAATACGCCGATCCCAAGAATGCCAGGCTTCGAATGTTGCACGGGTCCAGGCGGTTGGCGACTGTTTCCAATGCCTGGATGCCGTGGTCAAAGTCTCTCCAGATGCGGAGCACGTGCTTAGTGACTGTTGCCATGTGCTGGTTGTCGTCTTCCTTTCCGACCATCCTGTCATGTGCCGCTCTGGCACGCTGTACCTGAAAGTACCCTACCCAAAAGAGAGCTTCTCCATCAGAAGGATTTTGCGCCAACGCCCACTGATAGCATGTTTGACTGGTACCGGTATTGTCGGCAGCGGCGGGCGACTTTGATTGTTGTGCCGCAATTTCTTTCAGATAAAAGGCTCTCTCGATTCCTGCCAATGTTGCGTATTGGGTGGGATTGCCCATGATGTGGATTGTACCTGGGTTGTTGGATTGTTGCTGATGTTGTAGTGTAATGGGTGTGGTTGGAAGTGTCTCTCTCAAAGTAATAAAGAACACCAATATTTCTCGTATTGCTTCCCCCGGCTTGGTGGGAGCTCCAGCATGCCGTTCTGTGGACCGATGTGCCACTGCATGCCCCGGCGAGAGGGGGTGTACGATAGCCCGTTCGATAATGTCGTCGTCGTGATGTGAAGCTGTGTGTTTGGTTGATGATGTTATGAGATTGTCAAACAAGGTTCCTCCGTTTCCGTCCCCTTGCAAGGCAATGTTGACAGTAAAGAGCCCCCCATCCCTGTGCTGTATACGGTACCAGTCAACAATGCAACGAGATCATTAGTTGCACACGTCAATGTTTCTTGTTTTTGTGGGTGATTGTTATTGGCTTAGTCTACTTACCAGTGGCAAGGAGGCTCCCTTATCACGTCCGCTGTTTGCAGCAGCCTGTCCATCGTACCTCACAATCAGTGCATCATAGACACAGAGTGGTGGTTGTGGATCATTATTGGCGTCATCGTCATGAGGTAGAAGAAAGGCACTTCGCACCAGTGGATAGATTTGGTTGTGTAAGAGTTTCTCCAAGATTGGTTGTAGTGATGGTTGCATTGATACTAAATCGGCGACATGCAGATCGGAGTTTCCAGCATATTGCATGGTAAACCGTGTGGATGTTGTCGTCTTTCGGTTGTTGTTCCGAAAGGCCTTGGCAGCATTCAGTATGATGGAAATATCACTTTTGGACAATAACGGTTGTCCTGTGGTTCGAAGGGCCACATGAGTATTATTATTATTTGTTGTTGCTGTTGTTGTTGTTGTTGTTGTTGTTGTTGTGGAGTCTGATGTGACCCATTCATGTTGCGGTTGTGGTTGCTGTGTTGTTTGTTTGGTGGAGGTTGTTGTATTATTGGTAGATGTATAGTTGTTTTCAGTCGGAAATGGCATTTTTGATGCTTTCCAGTATCTGATTTGATCGATGACTTGGATGCATTTGGCTTGATCCTTTTGTGTACCGGTAGCATATACAGTAGCCAATGCTCTCAAGGCCGCCAATAGATTGGACATGGATGGGTTCTCCCCTGGTGGATGACATTGTATTAATGTATGAAGTTTGTCCTGTTCCAAGTTGACAGCTTGTTGGAAGAACCAGGCAGATTGGTCCAACATCAGCAGCTTTTGTTCATTTTTACATGTACCGGCAGTACTGGTAGTACTAGTAGAGATAGCCTCTTGGTAGAGAGTCTGTCCTTGGTGGAAATACTCTTGAGAATCTTGAGAAATTCTCTTGTACATGTACGAGTGCCCCCAAAGCTGGGTTGTTCGTGTTCTTGTGCCTCTGCTGGTGACATCTGGTCCTCTATGATGAATTAGAAGTGGTGCTGTTGTTACCGGTACCATCCAACCAGAACAAGGAGCGACACCTGATACTACATGAAGTACATGTACTAGCACAACTACCAAGCGTAACAGTGCCTGTATCCATACCGGTACTAGTAGGACAGACATCGCCGAAGGGATTGTTCGCCTTGGCTTCTTGGCAATGCTTCGTCTTATTCTCATTTTACATTGGAGATGATATGCATAGATGGATGGCTTCACAACGGACTTCGCATTGCATATCATCAACGCATTAAGTGGGACATGAACTGACCTGAACACTCCAGAACCAACAAGAGGATGGTATTCGCTTCTTCTCTTACTTGTACTGTACTGGTACTAACTGTATCAACACCTCAACAAACTATTAATAACACGAAAGCAACCACAGCCACCATGGTCTGTCACCTTGATCAATCTCTTGTGGCTATTCGTACAGTCGTAGTATGGTTGATGGTTGATGGTTGATGCGAGTGTCCTTTGCCAGATTGAGGAATCGATTCGATTCGATTCGATTCGAATCGAATCGAATTCGAAAAGAATCTTTTCGAACTGTGACAAAAAAGGCTTCTTTTGTCCACGATACAGCGTACTGTAAGACTTGCACCTGCCAGTTCATTTTCTAAAGATTTATTTCAGTGGTCCCCTCTGCTACAGTACTATGCATAGCTAGTATGTCATATAGCGTAGCGAGTGCAAACTGGCATTGCTCTGGCATAGTTCTGGCGGTCTGGGTTTCACGACCTGGTTTGCTTCCGCGACCTTGTTTACGACTTTGGTTTTAAGATATCAGTATATGTTTATTAAATCTTTGAGTACCGGAGTAAAGTCAGCCTTATTGAAGTTGCTAATAGGCAATCACTGTCAAGAGAGTCAATTGTATCTAGTAACCAAGGCTTAAACCCTAATTCTACAACTTGGCAGTCATGGTCATCTCTCGTATACCTCACGTGCCTGTCTAATGCCAGGTCAAGGTGTGGGAACGAAGAAAGAGCACAACAGCCGATCCTTTGGCCACTCTTTGGCCAGCCAGTTATTCTATAAAGGTTTTGGCCCATCACCCTCATTCCTTCTCCAAGCAAGCACTCAAAAACACTCTGGAGGCATTTTATGTCCAGTATTACCAAAAGCCACACCAATCCATTGATCCTTCCAAGTTGGAGGAGTAACAGAGAGATTGCCACACTTAGTTTGAGTATTGATTGATTGTATTATTTGCAAACCAACAAACAATGCCACCCACCGAAACTCCGATTCCTCGCAAGGCCCCGGCCCGTACAAGCAGTCGTAAAAGGGCTCGACGAGCTCCTTCTAATCCAGCACAACGACAAGCCCAGATCAACGCTTACTATGACTTGAAGAAGTCTCCTGCATTCAAGCAGGCTCGAGCCACGCGTATGCGACGATTGGGTGCGGCCAAGTGGGCAGCAGCGCAGGCTCAAATTCCAGTTCAGTGGAGAGCACTCATGGTCATTTTCCGAGTCATGATCATGTCGTTGGTCCTCTTTGTCATGTTCCGCATCATGCTCAAGGAAAAACAACTGCTCGCCATCAAGAGCTTTCTCACGCGACAACAGCATTCTCTGGCGACCACCAAAATGTCATGGAAATCATTCCAGCATGCCTACGAAACCAGATTCCGAAGACCCACTCCCTCTTCTCTACAGCCATGGCTCAACTTTGCACAAGAAAATGCCTGCGAACCCTTCAAAATGTACACCGCCATTGAACGAGATCTCCTGCCCTTTCGAAAAATCATGAATGGAGGTTTGGAAGTGCATCATCCTCCACATGCTCCTCCTGAATTGCTGCACTGGGACAAACTACAAGATATCGCCACCAATTATACCAAAGGAGCCTTTCTACTGGTGCAAATCAGAGATCACACTCTCACCATTCTGGACTCACAATTGACTGAATGGTTCCAACAGCATCCCACAGTTCACAGCGAAAAGTCACTGAGAGGCTGGTGGGAACGACAAAAACTGGAATGGAATCTACAATGGCTCATGGATCCAGTCATTCAACACAAACCTCCCATTCACACCAGATTCGTCATTAATCTGCACCATCGACCCAGGTCTCCTCCCGATGCCGTCGTGCCCATCTTTTCTTCACATTCCGAATCCTATCACACTGATGCCGATCCCACGCATCCCGGAGACCTCAGTCTCGAAATATCCAACAAAAACAGAAATGGAGTCATTGACACACGGGATCCCACCACGCGGGATCTTCTCATTCCTCATCTCTATGTGGCCGGTGGACGAGTTGGTGCAGCAGGAATGACATCTAGTCCAGCAGTAGGGGGATTCTGGTTCTGGCCCTTTTTTCGAGACGGGAAACCGTGGGAGGAACGAAAAAATGTCATTGCCTGGAGGGGATCCACACTGGGAAACTACGATTCCACCGTAGAATGGGGTAATCACTCACAAGCCCATGATTTCTTTAGTGGACCGAGATTCAGTGTCATGCAACAATGGGGTGGCACCGATATACACCCCATTCAGGCAGAAAGCAACGTGCAAGTGGATTTTGCATTCACGAAGCTATTGTTGCAAGGAGAGGAACACATGCACAAGACACAAGAACAAACCATCAAAGACGCGGTACAGAAGGAATTCAGATTCGCTCATCGACTCAGCTTCAGACAGCTGCAAAAATACAAATACCTTTTGGATGTCGATGGAAATGGTGAGTACCAGTACATGACATACACTACACTACAGTCAACGAAACAAAAATTGAACCAAGGATGGTTTATTTGTTTATTTCTTTGAATGACGCATACATACACACAGTAATTTGCTGTACTCACTTTTTGCTGCCTTCGCTCCTCTTGCTCTCTCGCAGCATTCTCCGTTCGATTCTCGTCACTGCTGCGAACTGGATCACTCATCTTCAAATCAACACGATACCGAGAATGGTTCAGTGAACGCATACGCAACTGGAAGGACTACATTCCCGTAAACTATGATACCAGTGACCTGGCACATAAAGTTGAATGGGCCAACCAACAGTCTCCAGAGGTCATCGCAAACATTATCCGACACGGAAAAGAAACCGTAGAACGGCACATTCGACCCGAAGACATGCAGTGCTATACCTATCGAATGGTGCTGGAGTACACGACACTCTTTGACGAAAAGTCCTTTCCAAAAGAAATACCCAGCAGCGCCGCCACAACATCATCGCCAACGGGAAAGAAGAATCTGCGCCTGGGAAATTAGTCGCTTTTGTACGTTGTATGGTAGAGTTGGAGCCATGCGACGCGAGGACCAGCCCACTCTAGAAATGCCGGGAAATCAACGAGTGCGAAGGCAAAAGCAAAGGATTACAATCTGCAGTGCCCTTTTGGTGGGATGTGCAAACAAACTCTCATTCTACAATGAAGAATCAAGACAGCGATTCCGTGGATGCCGTCCTTCCGAAACGGCGAGACCCAAAGAGAGGGCGTTGCATTTTATGCCGCTGCCAGTTGCAGCCGACAAACGTATCAGTACCGGTAGGAACCATAGCTGACTACTCTAGGCAATGAGGAAGAGATCATTTCTGTCTTCTATTCTGGATTGAGATCCGATGTTTACCAATCTACTACAAGTCCTATCGCACGTTGCCCTACTGGTACCGTGAGCTATCCGAAGTCCGCCCCGGCCGGGCAAGGGTGACTCTCGGATATTCGTTCCTTTGTTCAATTCCACTCTCGAAGCCAATCGGATCCGTATCGTCAACAAACATTTCTTTCTCTTTTTAGATGCGATTCGATTGAATCATTCACTTCGTCTAATTGTTTGCACCGAATGGGGAGCCACAGAAAGAAGCATCTTTGGCGTTCTTCATAGTTTCGTTGAGGACTGCCCACATGAATTCGCAGCCTCGCTGCTTCACTCGTTCCTCCGAGACTGGTCCATCGCTAGCAAAATCAATGCTTCGCCAGTTGGACGCGATGGCACTTGCGCAACGCTTTTCGAGACTGGATAGTTCGCCTTCCGCTTCAACTCCCTGCTCACCCGAGAGGAGATCCTGCTGCACTTCACAGAGCTCCAAAGCAACCTCCAAAGCAACGAAAGGCATCGCCTGTTCATCGTTCGTTAGCAACTTGAAGAATTTGCCAAATTTGAGCTCCTCCTTGTGCAATTGTGCAAAGTGGCCCATGAGCAAACTCCAATGCAAGCTAAGCGGCTTGGGTGTGACGCCGTTTCCAACAAGTTTGTCCTGTACATCCAACCAGAAATTTGGGTCGAAGGATTCAAGCAAGGACGAGTCTGTTGGAAGCCGCAACAGGTTTGTTGTTCCAATGAAGTCTACCACCAATTGCTTGATACCATCATCGTCTACCGGTAGCATCGAGGCCGCTGCCAAGATGCTGGGAATGTTCTCGAGGCTCCTAGCCATTTCGTTTTGACAGAAGTTCTTCGCCCCGTTACAGAGCTGCTCCACCTTGAAGACTTTTCCAAGGTAATGCAAAGCGACTGCATCCTCAACGTCCATTTGGAATGGCTCCTCTGGGGAGTAAAGAAAGTCAAGAAGCAGCGGAACTGCTTTTGCACCCAGAGGTTCAAGCTGGACAAGGACTGCCCCCTCTTGATCTTGATGGCACAATTCGGCCAAGAGCTCGCTCTTGCCAAAAGCCACCACCGCCTTGTGGATGTGGTATGTGTGCACGACGACTTTGTCGTTCTCCTCGCTACTCTTCGTCTTGACTTTGAGCATCCAATCGCTGAAGCTTTCTTTTGGATCTTTTCGCCAAAGCGAATCGAGCCCTCGAGGACTGCTACCACCGGTAGCCGTACCGGTAGAATCGTCATCACGGAATGAACTTGACGAAAGAGCAAGCAAACCCGAGGCCGCAGCGGGCGAAGTACCGAAGCCTGCAGTGGCGGCTATCTGCACTGGAGCGCTGCCTGGCCCAGCCGGTACAGGCGAATGGTTGCTTTGAGTAGAAGCAGCAAAAGGCATGCGGAAAAATGCAGGTCCCGTAGGAGCAGCTCGCGGTCCCGAAGAAGCGGCATTAGCGTTGCCATTTTGAGGCTGCGATGGCGCTGGAGCCCCAAACAACGAGAAACTGGAAGGAGAGCTGTTGGGAACACCTGTAGCTGAATTGTTGTATCCAGCTGCTGCGCCGAAGGGTTCCGCACGAGTGCCACGATTGTTCCCAGCGGGTCCCGTAGTCCAAGCGGTCGCGTCGGTGTGCGCAGCCCCAAACGATGAAGCTGGAGCACCGAACACACTTGGAGAACCAGAAGAAAAGACGGAAGCTGTAGGAGAACTGTTGGAAAGAGTTGGAGAACCAAAGTGGTCCAGAGGAGTGTCGCGATTGTTGAATTGAGCTTGAAGGCGTCCAAGTCCCCGGTTTCCTTGAAGATAGTCTTCGAAGCGCAGTTCGTCAAAACTGTTGTGCTCAAATGTCGCCATGGCGGTGATTGAATACATAGTTCCATCCCAGCAATCGGTAGGATAGTAGGGTGTGTTTTTCGTGCCGTAGAAACGCGAAGCACCATTGCCATTCAAGTTCGCCGTTAGTCGACCTCCAGAACCGGAGTTTTGGAAGGTAGACCCAAGGCCAGGACTTCCAAAAACGCTACCGGTGGTGCCCGCTGCGTTCCGTCCAAGTCCATTCAAGTTGGGGGCTTGCCAGGGCGGGGAACCAAAATTGTCGCGTGGAGGAGGAGCACCAGAAAAGGCTTGGGAGTTGTAGCGGTTGCCGTCGGCGTCAAAGCCGAAAGGTCGGGCATTGCTGGAACCAGAGCCATTTGGTGACACTGAGCCTTGATCCTCTGGAGGAGGAGCACCGAACATTGTGTAAGCGCAAAAACAAAGAAGACGAAACAACAAGGCAACAAACGTCGTGAAGGAGTTGGGTGTTTTTTGGGAGAGCGTCGGCTTCGAGTTGTGGGAGCTGTTGTGAGAACCTTTCAGGTCGACTGTGAATGAAAAGGACCTTCGAGTCTTGCCAAAAGAGCAACGGCTATTTTTCCGTGAGCCGTGGACATTGGCTTCAAACCAGGACGAAACTGCTGGAGCAAGCAATGCACGACGGCGCCGGTTTAAATAGGCTACTTGTAGGTTGAGTGTTTCTCCATTGGTTTCTACTGGCAGCTCCCTGGAGCATGGCTAAAGGAGCTCCAACGTCCTGCTGTGGTGTCTCCCGAGCCTGCCGAGGGCTAACGTACCGTATGCGACTTGTCCCATAGAAGTCCTACCGTACCAGATCTCCGCCTTCGTTTCATATCTCTCGTTTCTCGCTTCCTCCATGAAATTTCAATGAGCAATGCTTGACGACACGACTATCTCGAGGACTGTCGCCGATGTTGGTACTGGTCCCATACCGTATAGAGGAGGACAGTGGCGCCACTACCGTACGCCACGTGACTGGTTTTGCCTTCGTTGGGCTCTCCTGAGACAACATGTAAGGAGCTTACCGACGACGATGGCTACTGGTACACTGTGGTCATTCATACAAACAACTACGATGAATCGAACAGGACACGGCATAACTAATGTATTGCAATGTACTAATGTAGGGGTTTCGACGCCACAACAGTCGAGAACGCAGCTGGCCAAAACCAACCTGGCTTCAAATAAACTCACGCCACCTTGGACGACTCTGTCAAAGGCATGAGCGCTTCAAGTTTTGGCAGGCAACTGGCAGCATTCGCGATTTCATCCTTCATCTTCAGTGGCTGAATCTTTTGCTCCTTTGGCCTGCGCACTGCATTGTCCTTCGATTTGATGTGCTTCCACTCACCACCATTGTCTTCGTTTTCCTTTTGCCTGGCAGCCAATGCCCAGTCGTAAATGTCCTCCTTTTCCACCTTGGACAAGTCAGGCATTGACGACCGACGGCTTGACTTCATTTTGGATCGTCGGTTTTCTTTCTTCTTGCCTGCCTTGCGATTGGCCTTGTCAGGGACTTCTCGGTCGTCTTGCGACAGTTTGTTATCTTGTAAGTCGGGCATGGAAGATCGTCGGCTTGACTTCTTTTTCTTGGTTTTCTTCTTCTTGCCACTGTCTTGTTGTTCTGACGAATCCATTGTCTCTCGCTTGACTTCGGGAGCAGTGACAATGTCAGCCAACAGGTGCTTGGGCATGGTGGAAATTTCCTTCAATGCTTCCTCTGGGTTGTTGCCATGCTGTGTGAGTGCAGCCACTGTGGTGGTAAAATCTGGCGCGGACGCACGTCGAAGCATGTAGGCCCGACGATCCTTCTTCGGAGAGCTATTACCATCCGCAGGAGCAGCTGCATCGTTATGGATACCCGCTGCCCTATCGGCTCCTTCGATGCAGGGTCAGATGGTCGCTTGCTTTTCTTCTTCCTTTTCTTGGTGACTTGTTCTCCCATACCGGTACCTTCGGCAGCTTCCCGATCATCTTTGTTGGAAATTTCGGGCATCGACTGGCGTCTACTCTTCTTGGTGTTAACGGCTATGGATTGCTTCGTAATTTCATAATCAACCAGACTCATCAGTGCTGGTTCCTGCGATTCAGCAGCTTTTTTCAGCGCGACTTTCAACAATTGCAACTGTTCTTGTCGTTGGGACTCGGACGAGATTGTGGACTGATCGTCTACGCTGGCGTCGTTGCTCCGATCCTTTGGTGCCCCCTCCTGCTGCTTTGTTGGTGGCATGTTGTCAGTCTCTTCCGCTTGCTTGTCTTGGCCAGGTTCCTCTTCCGATTCACGTTTCTCTTCCTGTAATGATTTTTGCTTGGCGATGGCACTCTGCCTTTTCAGGACTTCTCGCAGTTTCTGTTCGTTGACTGCCCGAGGACTGATGACGAAGGGGAGCTTCTCACTGTTGGTGGCTTCCTCTGCTTCTCGAGTCACTGCGGGTTTTTCGACTTCTTTGGTAGCTGTAGCTGTAGCTGGAGAAGAGACATGGTTCTCCGACGATTGATCCTCAGCTGCGGCCTGTTCCTTTTCTTCATGAACGTTCGATTGCACCAAACTGGCATTGATTTTGTTAGCGTCCCGCTCCAAAAGAGCCGTGAGAGACGAGCGGCGCCTTTGCTGCTTGGAAATTTTGTTGGTTTCTTTGTCCATGTCATCATCATGCAGCATGAGCCCGAGCGGTCCCAAGACGATGGTTTTGCGCTTCCAGGATCTCGTGGCACGTTCGGTAGCTCGAGTGGCCGCGTATAGAGCCCCCTCTTCCTTTTCTTGCTTCTTTCGCTTGCGTTCAAAGTCCGTCAAACTGGTGTCGAGCAGAGCCGATTTGAGATCCAAATTTGGCATGCTACTGTGGAAGGACTTGCGAGCTTGTTTGAGTTGTTGTGACAATCTGCTTTCGCCACTGATGCTGGAGCGACGTCGATCCTTGCTGCCTGTTGGCAACGAAGCACGACGCTGATGGGACATGTATTGACGCTTTGGCTGAAAGGAATCTCGTGCAGCTTTATCTTCCAAGGAATCATGGGGTCGCCGCAACAATTCAAACTCATATGACTCCTGACGCGAGGGTGACGGTGGCGTCATCTTCTTCTTGCTAATGGAAGCGTCAAAGGCAATCTTCTTGCCCTTCTTCTTTGACTGCTTGTAGTCGCGTTTCACCAGGTTCTTCAAGTTTTCACCTTGCGAAAGAAGTTTGCTTGCTGGCTGCTCCAGTCCAACATCAGGGACCGACAATCTGTGCGACACCCGCACTTCAGCATCATTGCCCCTATTCGTCAGGACAGGACGAGGTTCCAGGCTGATGTTCATGGTCAACTTTCTTTGTTGCTTCCGAATGATAATCTCTTGATGTCTTTGATGCTGGGTTCGATATGTTACATGTATGGCATACTAGTACTTACTTTCAAAACTGGCGAAGGTGATGTCTGCTCAACGAAATGAGAAGTGCAACAGAAAAATGAGACGCCACTGACACGATTGAGGGCGATCACTTGCTCCAACCACAACCACATTACATGTACACATAACTCGACCAACACACATTACACACCAAACAACCAACAAAATCCACCAAGAGACACCATGGCGAATGCAGCGGCAAAAAAGGCAGCTATTGGTACGGCAAAGTAAATCATCTGGAAAGCGTTTGTTGTGTGTCCATGGTGCTAAAGTCCTCTTTTTGTTTTGATTTGATATGTTGTTCTCGATTGTCAGCCCGAAAGGAAGCCGCCAATACATACTTGCCAATCCTGGCTGGCATCAACATTGTCTACATCCTCTTGTGTTTGGGTGCACAGCTGGATCTTACATTCTGGAACATAGCGGGGATGATATCGGTCTGGGGACTCGAATTCTTTGCCTACACGGGGATTTTGAACAATGCCGAGAATCGAAATCCAAACGACAAATCACTGGTGGGAGGATCATCTCTGGATCTGCTTGGTATGACGGTCGTCATCCAGTATGGAGCCGTCCTTTGGAGTCCCCGATTTTATTGGATGTTGGTGCTCGTCCCAATATGGGGCGCTTGGACCCTCTACTCTACCTTTCGAGGTGGTGATGGAGTCGGGGCTTCCAAGGGTGCAAAGTCGTCCACAGAACCAGCCGAAGAGGACCCAGCATTGGCTGATAGACGACAAAAGCGATCCGAGAGAAGGAGACAAAAAAGAGCATAGCAATATAATAGGTCTATTAATAGTTACTGAGTTGGAAATATCCAGATGTTCTCTTGACAATCACTCACTGGAACCGTACCGTACCGTACCTGCGGATATTAATAGTTGGAACTCTCTGTGGAGACCTGTTCCAACCCGATTAGATTAGCAACAAAGAACTGCACGTGGCTACTGTACTAGTACTTGTTGCTGGTGTGAAATACAATTAGGCATAAACGAAAGAAAAGTCTATTATTATTAGTCTACTTGTACTGGGCCTGTGCAACAGTGATAAAGCAATATGTTGGAGACGGATTGAATCGAACCATTTTCTTCGGTCGAATATCAAGCAGGTCGCCTTCCCAACAGGTTTCCAGTTGAAGACCGTGCCACGCAGATTCGATTCCTGGTTGGCAAAATAATCAGAGAATGAACTTCTACCGGTAGTCTACCCTCACCAGCTAGCTAGACTCTACCACATTGGAATGCTTGAGTTTTTGGAGATCAACTCGTCTTCGTCGTCACCATGATAAAAGAGTCGAGTCTACCGATACGTTGGTACTGTGATTAGCAATGTACAATTGCTTTTGAGTAACAGGCTGTCAGCTCAGTGGCATACTGGTACCAGTAGTAAGTCTCAGTTGCCTTTACCTACCGGTAAACCTACCATACAGTACCGTAGCTAGCAAGACAGGTAGACAGGTACTAGCTAGTACCTGGTACCAGTACATGACATCGTACCGATAAAGATTGGTTGAATGATGGGATTGAATCGAATCGAATCAAATCAATCGAAGTGGTAATCCCCCGGATTCCACTTTTCTAGAGGTCCAGTAGAGCTACTAGACTACGAGCAGCTTCGATTTTTCTGATTCAAACGCGTGCCGGCTTTTCTGGTACACTTCTACGAGTGCTGGTGTAGAAATGTACGAAGAAGGACGGCTCGCGTTTGAATTATTGGAAACGAAGCTGCCTGTATGGCAAGATCATGTCAATATAGGTCTATAGAGGTTGTAAACCTCCCCTCCAGACTAGGATCCAGGCAAAGGCAATGGCCCTGGTTAAACCAGAGAGGCCTGCTGCATGTATCACAGACAGACCTAATTCCATCCAATTTACCCTCCGTCGGAGCCAGACCCTCATGACTGACCATAGATATAATCCCCCATGTCGGCCGGCCAAGCCGGCCAATTGCGCCGCCGACTGCCAGGGAGGTGGTGAGCTTTGCGTGTTGTTGTTGTTGTTGTTGTTGTTGTTGTTGTTGTTTTTGTGATACCCGCCGGGCGTCTTGGGGTTCAACCTGATATTCCAGAATGGCCATTGGCCAGGGCGGGCTCCTTGGATGGTATCCTGTCGCCCATTGTACTTGTCGTTCCGGGAGATGATGATGCGGTCACCCTTCTTCCACTTTCGGTATGGTTTGACAAAGGCACGGCTCTTGTGGGGCTGAGTGGGTGCTGGTGCTGCTGAAGGTGTTGGAGTGGGTGCCGTGTTACGCAGTTTGGCTTCCAGTTCCAACTTGGCCACCCGTGTCGTGAGAAACGCCAAGTCGTCTTGCACCCGATGGACCGAGTCTGAGATGTCTTGTACCTGTTCGGTGAGTAGTTCCAGGTCGTCACACGAGGTGTAAAATACTCATTTAGCTTAACAAGCTATTGGCCACGGAGTGACTTTATTGACGTGGGCAATGGATGGGAAAGACCCCCACCTAGCTGAGCCATCATCTACTTTGTTTGCCCAATCAACATGACCTCATCCACTGGCCCACGTGGAGCCAGCACCAAGTAGACAGATGCCCTGGGTAGAGGGGTGAGCACATTGATAGAGAACCTGCAGCGCAAAACCTGCGATGAGATTATGCCATAGGAGCCATAGTATGGGTGCGGCGCAGCTGTGCTGGCTCAGTCTGGTGGAAAGATTGCTGCTGCATCTGTACACTCTTTCAGTACAATGAGCTGTGTCACCATCAGACAAGATAGGAACAGCTGTAGAGGACATAGAGTTCCTCTGCAAGGAAGGATGATGCAGTTCCTCAGCCATGACCTATCTAGAAAGATAGCTTGGTATATACCAGCCAAAAGAGATGCATGGATCTGTATCCTGCATGGCTGGATGGAGTTTCACGCAAAATCAGAGTTTGTGTTCATGTTATAGTTTAAAGAAGTAATGAAGAAGTAGTTGACCTGAGAAACAGACCCAACAGCACAAGTAGAGCTCTGCAGTAGACAGGATCCTGTATGGCCAGTGCCAGGGTATTGAGCAATTAGACTGTTCAATCATTGCTTCCACAGTGATTGAATAGCATTGGCTGCCAGCCTTGGGCTGGCCCTTCCAGCGCCAGTGGAAGGAGATCTCCACCAACAGAGCTCTCCATCCCAGCTCTTGTGCACCTACCAGCTGAGTTCCTTTGGAATTCATAGGATTAACAGTCGCACCTTCCCCACCAGCCAACCAAGGTGTTACCCTTTCAATGATCAGCCACCAACTGGCAATAGCCTTGAAGAAAATGAAACAAATGAACCAAGCTCCCTTGGCCCCACCACAAGGCCACAATACCAATCAGCTTGGTTCATCCCATCCACCTTATTACTCCACTCCCTGCACACCTGGTTTATCACACAAGCCTAGCCCTGAGATTAAGGCTAGGAGGACGATTCAGAACCAGGCAGTTTGGAACAGAGTTTGTTGGGTGATGTTAGGACCCTCTTGGTCATCATCCCAACCCAAAGTTGCCATGGATGTTGCCACTTCCCCTGCTGGAGGTGGATACCATCACCAAGTTGGGCCCTCAATGGGAGGTATATCCCCAACCAACACCAATACCATCATATTGGCATCCCACCAACACCCCATTCTGTGAGATACCCACTACACAACCGTGTCTTCAGTCCCTACTACACGGCATGGTCTTAGCAGCCTATCAGCCCTCTATTAGGCCACATCATTCCAACACCAGTACACCCAGACATCCCATTATTCTAGTCAGCCAACCTACTGATAAACCGGAGAAACCAAGAAGGAAGTCAGCCTTCATTCCACCCCTGATGGCAATGATGGTCTTCCAAGTCCCTAGGTGGTGGAGAAGGTGGCAAACGGCCTCCAGGCAAGCCCTTTCGTGCCAAGCCAGATGCCACGGCCTACCTACCTCAAATCCAACAGGACTTCGACCAGTGGTAAGAGTCCTTTATCACTAGCTAGAGGTCAAGGGTTTCACAAGATCTTTGATGCCGACTACGTCCAAGCAGCACCGAGCCATGGATGAACTCATACGAATGAATCATGTTCTACGCTGGACGGGATACAGCTTACATTCAGTTTACAGCTTTACAATTAGCAGGCTTATTCTGAAAATAATCAATAACTGCTCACTTATTTGGAAATACAAACTTTACATCTCTTAAATCTTAGATAATCAATCACAATGGTATTGTCGCATGGTACACGAGGTTATGAGATTTACTCATTCTATTTCTTATATGTCTATCCCCTATGTGTATGGAATTGATATTCCTTGATGCAGATTGCTCCTGATGAGTTTCCTCTTGCACATCTTCATCGATAGTCCTTCCCTTTATTGCAACTCACTTCCCTTGGATTCGTCGAAGCAACCATTCGTCAATCACTGTTGTTCTTATCTGTTCGATCGTAATCTCAGTGAGGATCATCCTATCATCTTGGATTTGCTCAAAAGCAGTCCCTTGTTCTTAATCCTATGACGATCGAATCTCAATGAGGATCCTATTATTAATCGATCTCGCTGCAGGAGCCACTACTGATACTACTGTTATCTCTATCACCGGCAAAGCCTTGCGGATTCCATGCTCAGCTTGACATGGATCGATCGATCGGCCGTAGCAGGATCGATCGATCGGCGTCGAGTTAACAGAATTCATCGAAAAATGAGCTCCGAATGCATACATGAGCTCGGCTTGTGTGTCATGCTTCGAGTCATTCGGGAGCCATTTCACCCTCTATTATCTTGGATTGGTTGAGTCATCTTGCGTTATGTCTTCGAAGCAAACTCTCACTTTTTCATTAACTCGACGGAGCGCACACCTGACAACGAACATAGCACGATCGGACGAGATGAGTCGTGCTCGGAGATAGGGAAGTCGTCGCTTCGATCGTTTGCAGTGTTGTTCATGTGGCTGTTGGTCGTTCGGCAGTTGGTCTCTTCCGCTGTTGGTCGATCGGCTTGGTCTCAGGCAATGTCGTTTAGAACTGGCTTGCATTGTTCAACCGAGTTCGGCGAATCAGGGTCGAGCTGTTATCTTCCGAATGGTTGGGAGCTCATAAATTCCATCTTCGATTTGACTCATTGACTGATATCCACGGCGCTCTCATCTTGTTGCCGCTCCTGTTGTCCGCTCCTCCTCTTGCAGTTTGCCGATTTTTTATTGTTATTCATCCTTCTTGTTTGCCATTGTTGCCATTGCCGCTCTGTTGATTTTTACTGCCTCCTATTGATGGACTTGACGACGCTTCCTCTGCTTCAGCATCTTCATCTTCAACAGCTAGCCCAGCCAGCTACAGCATCCTTGTTCATCCACAAGGCTTCAGACAAACCTTCTTTAATCTGATCCAATCATTCATACCATCCGATCCTCCCGAATCATGCATGCGAGATCAGTCTGTCACCATTGCATCTTCGCAGTTCAAGTTACCTAGGAAGTATGCTCTTACGCGCACGCGTAACAA